TACCTAATAAGATTTTGCCCAGCTTCATCCTAACCTCTGCGGAAAAGACCAGAGTTGATCTGTTTTTTCTTTTCCGCTGTTCCTTAGCAAGATGCCAATTTTCTTTTGTTTTATTTATAAGACCCTTTCTTTGATGTTAGCATATTAGATCAATAAGTCCCAATATACTAATACTGAGACATTGAGAGTTACATCAGAAGGTTCCCCCTACAAAAACACAGATCAGGAAGACAAATAATTAAGATTCTTTCACTTTGATCCAGACTACTTGATGTACGTTTAGACTGTCAGAAATATAGATGGTTATGATGAACCACATCGTATAGTAACCAACATCTATTAATCAAAACAACTCTCTAAGCAAGGTAGAAGGATGGTCCAATGGTTAGGGTGCTAACTGGGGTTCAATTCCCTGCTCTGCCACAGACTCCTTATGTGACCTTGGGCAATTCACTTAGCCTCTCTGTGGCTCAGGTCCCCAGCTATAAAATGGGGATGGTAGCATTGCCTTACCTTACAGGGGTGTTGTGAAAATAATACATTAAAGACTGTGAAATGCTTAGATACTATAGTGATGTGGGCCATATAAGTACCTAAGAGAGAAACTTCCTCCTCCTGTATACAGCAACACCTTCCCTATCATAGGACTTACTCACCTGGTATCATATACACCCAGAAGGATAATAATTTAAGAAAGACACAAAAACTCTCAGCATATTCCTACATTCACTGATCCTTTCAAGTAAGTGCCTCCTTAACACAGGCAGGTGCCAGTTACCCCATGCTACGTTGCCATGACATCCCCAGGCCTAGAGTAAGCTTATTGGTCTCCATCTGGCCACGTTCTGGGACCTTTTGAGCGTATGTCAGAGGATTCAATACTTCCTCAGCTATTTCTCATAGACAGGGGTGTCTTTCTCCCCACCACCGTGAACTCTGCTAGCCCCATGAGTAATTCTTCAGAGATCTGGCTGGGCCTGTACAGCCCTCGCTGCTGGGGCTTTGCGGTTCCAGGGGCTGAGCTAGCTAGATTAAGGCTAGTTTGGGTACGTTGTCTCAAGCTGCAATCATTCCTCATGACTGCAGTATATACACATTCTAAGGGTGTGTCTATCACTAGATATTGCTATAGATATATATAAAAAAAAATCACACCTGCACACATACAGACAGTGTGGGTGACCGGACAGATAGCCACCCAAGTACAATCCCATCCAGGACCCTGGGTACTCTGTAGACAGACATACCCTTCGAGAACATGGTACGGATGCTAGTAACATCCTCCCACGCAGACATAATCTATTACTTAAGTTTTTTCCAGCCTTGCCTATCAGCTCAGAACATCAATTCCAAATTTAGCACGCCAGCAATAAACATCCCCCTCCACGAACAAACTATGAGTCAAATAAAGTATTCTCGGAGTCTGTGCCAACATTCTAGACATGAGTCATGAAGCACTGCCACAGGAGGCAAAGGGGGGGAATACCTGCTGGGAAAGCCTACCTACCTACCAACCAGCATCTGGGGGATGCAGAACTCATTCTCCCAACATGGGGTAGGGCCGGGAGAATTCAACAGAGCTCTGGCTCTGATTCAAAGTTCACAGGGCCAGAATCTCCACACGACCCACAACAGACGCCAACCTGAGGTGTGCAGTGTTGTCAGCTCTCATGATTTTGTCACAAGTCTCACAAAATATATGTGCTGGTTTTCTGGAAGTACAGCTCTGGAGTCGTGATTAAATGAGACTCTCAGCTTTCATTTTAAAAATGAAAAAAAAAAGTGTCTTTAGCCCTCCTGATTGCAGAGGAAAGCTTGAACACATGATCTGAGGGCCCGGGAAAGGCTCAGAGACCAGAAAATACAGCAAATGAACCCCACAACTTATTTTGAAAATTCTCATGATTTTTGGTGCCCGATTCATGATTTTTTGAATGTTTTGAGCTGGCAACATGCAATGTTCCCTAAAACAGGGATAGTCAATTATTTTTGTCAAGGGCCAAACTTCTTGGTCAAGGTATAGTCAAGGTCCAGACTCCAAAGAAACATTTTTCACACCACAAGTGTCCCTGTTCAACAAATACATACAATGCTGTGCATTAAAAATGTACCCCATTGCTTATATTTTTAGTGCATTAAATGAAAAATAAAATCAAACCACCGTATAACCTAAAAATAACCTCCAAGAAAGATGTAATAAATTACATCTGAGACTAAGAGAGTACATATGCTCGGTTTTTTTATTGGCAGAAACTGATTAAAGCAAAAATTAAGCAAATAAGGAATTAAGGAGAACCGGTGAATCCTTAATTCATGGTATAACGTATTAGAGATCACATGGTGAGAGAATGAGAGGGTCAAAAAATTAAAAAATAACAATAATGATAAGTAAATACAAAGATTTTGCAGTCCGTTCCAAAGCATCTGGTGTTCCAGATTTGGTTCACCTATTGACTGCCCCTGCCCTAGAACATGGGACAAGCAGAGAGGGAATAACTCACTGAAGCCACCTCAGGACTCCCTGTACAGAAGCAGAGTCAAGGTGAGGCACAACTTAGGATTTGGAACCACATACACAGGTAGGGAAATAGCTCTTGGCAACAATCATGGTCTTAAGGCTTTGGGATGCAGGATGAGGAAAAGGGGACTTTTGCTTTACCGGCACCAATAGAAATGATCAGAACATCTCCAGGTAGCATCATCATCTCCATTTCACTCCTCCAGGCTTTGCCAGACAATCAAAGAAAAGAGAAGCTGGCCTGTATTCACAGTGCTGCTCTTTTTTATGTTGCAGGGATTGGAATGGGGGGCAGGGCAGAGGCAGGGCCGCATGGAAGGGGTGGAGTGGGGGCGGGGCCGGGGGATAGATCGGGGCCGAGCACCCAGAGGAAAGAGGACAAGTTGGCGCTTATGGCAGACAGTATAAATTGTAAGGGCTTGATTGGCTGGTCTCTCCATTGATACTGGCAACAAAGACTGAGAGGCTCTGGGAGCAAACATCTCTCACCCACTGCGGTGGTTTCCACATATCATGTTTGAAGAATACGAACAGGCAACCATCTATCCTATGAATCAATACAGAACTTCATCAATTCAAATGTTGGAAGGGATCTAAATCTTCATGCTTCAGGTCTTAAATCTGTCCTGAGATTAGGCTGAGACCTTTGGGGGGAGAGATTACTCCACATTTGCCTCCTCTGGGTCAGGGCCGGCTCTAGGTTTTTTGCCGCCCCAAGCAAAAAAATTTTTGGCTGCCCCCCATCCCAGGACTGGGCTCCTTGACGCACCCCCGTGCTGCCCCAGCCCTGGGCTCTCCCCACCCACCCTGCTGCCCCAGCTCTGGGCTCTCTCATTCCCCCCCACACACACCTCCTGCTGCCCCAGCCCTGGGCTCTCTCCCCCCTCCCCCCGCCGCAGCCCTGGGTCACTGGTAACTCGCTCCCACGGCAGGTCATTCAGCATGAATTTTAGATGTGCACAGAACACAGAGAGTATTGGTTCCCATATGGTTACAGAACTGCAGTAAAGTGTAACAATTTTCAGCTTGTGTGATTGGAGGATATCTGGATGCATATTATAAGACTGTCCTACATAAATGAGGAGAAGTTGAGGTGCCTTTATTATTCTTTTCTTCCACTCTTTCTTGCTATGGGGAATTTGCCAATGCAATATCACTGTCTTCCTTTTAAACAAACAAACAAACAAAAGGCAATGGCTGTTGAAAATAGCAATTCCAGTCCTAATAACCACTGGGAAGCATTTCTTGCTCAATTTTATCCTACTTTTTCTACAGTGGATCAGTATATTTGATTTGGGAGAAATGAAGTAACAGAGGGTTACCATACATCCGGATTTTCCTGGACATGTCCGTCTTTTTGGGCCTCA